AGGAAGCCCGCAGGTCAGCCGCCGCTCGTCTGCCCCCAGCGGAAGGGCCTGCCATCCGCCGCCCCTGCATTAGCAACACCGACATCACGCGGGCCCTGTCCTCCCCCCGGCCGCCCACGTTCGGCTTTTTCATTATTGTAGTTGCCGCCTACGCTCGCCCACGGCTTCATTATTCCTCACGCCCGCCCCGCGCTTTGGCTGTTGCGGAGATGCGCCTCGTGAGTTTCCCGCCGGAATTGTTTGGCGATTGTTTTGAGCGTTTTTCTGCATGGATGTTCATGTACATGAATATGTATATGTACATATGTGTGTATGTATGTATTTATATTTATACATATATATGTGTGTGTGTGTGTGTGTGTGTGTGTGTGTGTGTGTGTGTGTGTGTGTTTCTACACATATGTCCTGAAGAAGCAATGCAGCGTGTTTTTCTGTTCTTCCCTTTGTTATTTTATTTACTATTTATAGACAGGCAGATGTGTACGAATGCACTGCATATATAGCTGAAACTGTGAGGAATGCATGTTGATCAAATCAGAAAAAGAACAACAAAAGGAAGAACAAAAAAACACACTAATAGGCCAAGACCTATTCGCGTTTTTTTCCTCGTTCTTCCCTCCGTTGCCCTACTTGCAAAGCTGAAACTGTTTCCCATCACGAAGCATCAGGTTCCCTCAGTCCCGGCCCCTCCTCCTTCAGGCAGAGAGGCTGACAGAGACCCCAAAGCAAGCTCCAGTCTACACGTCAGTCTTGTAAACAGAACTAGAATTAATTTATAAGATTACATGTAGGATGATGATTAGGATTCGTTAGTTGTAATAATATTTACTCTGATCTCAACACTGAAGACGAAGAAATGTTCGCCGTAAGATTTATATACCACGTCGACGCACATTCCAAATACAATATGCGTTTCGTTTCGTTACTTTTGTTCCTCAAGGGATAAATTACCTTTTTTGTATATTGGTAGAGTTGGTGAATTTTTATTTTCTTCCAATACGAGAAGTTTAGCTTTCTGCGACAAAAAGTAAAAACAAATGATAAAAACAATAATAATAATAATAATAAACGTATGTATGAATAGTAATTCTAGACACACGCAGACAATAAACACATTCTTTTTGTCATGTGGAAAATCAAAATGCAAATTAAAGAAATTTGTATATCATACGAAAGGGATTTGAGGGCTCTATCTTGTAAATGGAGAATCTAAATTGTATCTCGAATACTTATTTTCGTTGTGAATTGTTAAGTATGGTATAGTGTTTGATCTTTTCCTTACCAACTTCAAGTCGTCACTGTTTTTTATTCACTCGTACATGTAAGATTCTTTTTTTAACATCAACCCACCCCGATTTCGCCTTCTAAGAGAGTTCAGATATGTGTTCCACGGTGGCTAGATGAAAATTGTTTACTGGATATCAATATATACATCAATAACAACAGCTGCAGCGTGTGTCAAAAAAATTTTTTTACTTGTTTCATCTGCGTCAAAATAATATATATTTTTTTCCATTTCAGTTTCTCTTTAGGGGTGATTTCAAAATTCACCATTATCAAACACAAACGAAATCCTTTCCGATACTGCGATTTACAGAATGTCTATCTACAAATATTTCAGTAGATATACTGTTCCCAATTTCTTTATTTTCATAACCACTATTTCTCCTCACTTCTCTTGCCAATATTTGTCTCTTAAGATATCTTGAAATACTCCATACCTGAAAATAATATTTATAGAACTGTTGCAACTTTTCCCTTCCCCTTCACAGTCAATATTTCCACACCATCTCTGGTTAAAAGAACATCCTATATAAAACATAAAACCACACACGGCATCCTTTTTGCATATCAATCCGTAGGAACGTGACCTGCTGTCAGCCGTCGTCAGGAGTGAAAAATGCCCATGCCGAGGTTGAGATGTGTCAGAGGTTCTCATTGGTGCACGAACAGCGCCTCTTTTGTGTCGAAACCTCTGATTGGTTCCTCAGATACGAGGCATAATAATAGTGCAGATGTCGAGTACTTTTGCTGTAAGATTCGTCCTTTTATATTTCGTATTTTTATTTTCAAGTTCGCATTCCGAATATATGACCACCGTTGCCATCACCGTTAAAATCATTATTATGATCATTCATAATACAATTAACTGCACGGATGCTCAATGCGAAGTTATACGTTAACTAGTAGGAAATTCTCTTACAATTCCCACTGAGGCTAAAACAAACCAAAAATACCGAATTTTCTTTGTTCAAACCCAGAACGCCGCCTGAACAAAGGGCCTTCTTTTCTCCGTCTAACGAATGATTTTCTTCTTTGTCTTCACGAAATTCTGAAATACCAATTTATTACCATCAACTTGTCGATCTCATTGTATGTCGATCTGTTTATCTGTACTGTTTTATCATCATCATTATGTTTATCAATGTCAACGTTATTGTTGTTGTTGCTTTTGGTAACATCGATATTAATGCTATGAACATTATTATTATCTTTTTTT